TTCGCTCGAGCGAGAACTCTTGCGCTCGAGCGTGCGTCTGCGTTGGTTGCAGACCTGAAGCTTCTCATTGTTCGCTCGAGCGAGGTCCTTTGTTGTGTTTGGTCACTCGAGCGACAACTCCTTCGCTCGAGTGAGCCTCGCATATATCAGTTCGCAGCAGAGATGAAGTATACCATTTTTGAACCTCTTTTTCTTCCAAAACCCTAAATCGACAGCCTCTCTCTCTAAAATACCCCTTCTCTCTACAAATACTCTTGATCTAGGGTCATTCTACCCTACTCCCTTTGTTAAAAAGGTAGAGCATCGCGTGGGCTATCTTTTGATCCGAAAAAGTTTAGATTTAGAGCACTTTCAAGTTTCTCCTTATTCTCCTTTGAGCTTCTCCATTTTAGGTAGGGATGATCTACTCCTTAATATGAGTTTTGGCATAAATGTTGGTCATTTTATATAAATGGTGGGATTTGGGAAGTTTGGGTGAAGTTAGGGTTTGAGTTTGAAATCATAAAAGAGGGGTTTCCTAATTTTGGGTTCATTGTGTATGTGAGGTCTTGAGTTTGTGGTCTCTCGTATATAATGGGTGAAATTTGGCCTTGGGTGCAATATTTGAGAAATGGAGAAATTTTAGTTCAATTTTTTTTACCCAAAAGATGTGTATTGAATTTTTTTTTTATTTTAAAAAGATATGTATGGAAAAAATTTTAATATAATATTAAGGGTGCGTTTTGATGTCTATTATGGTTATTTTATTTTATGATACAGTTGTTATTAAAATAATATTTCATTAAATATGTGCACAGAAATAAATAGATATGTGAAAATAAAATTTCTAATGGATCAAACTTTTCAAGTGTGGGGTGAACTTAGCAAATAGGAAAGTAATTATGTGAACGGCTGGATTTGATGATGTCTAAGGCCCTATTTGGAGAGTTGGATTTTCAACCAAAAAGCCGAAAAACTATTACAAATTGTCACATTACTCTTTTTATTTTTTCACATGTTATTTTGTAAAATATATATATATATATATATAAACTAAAATAGGCAATTCTCAAATGGGGCCTAAATAGAATTTCCCAAAATTAAGTCTACCATTACAACATTGATGTCAAGAAATACCATTTATCTTACTCTATAAGCCTGTTTGTGTTTGTTTTGGATTATAGATGATGAGATTGGATTAGAATAGATGTGAGACCCACTAAAATGATATTTGTTTGTAAAACTAAAAAGAAGATTATATTCCTTAGGACTATGATATGCTTTAGAGGAGGGAATTAACAAAAGACACCAATCATGTAATTATTTTATTTTATTTTTATTCAAAAATCATGTAATTTATGATGAGAGAACACTTAATTGGTATTTTTTTACTTTGAAATTATATCAATTGTAATTTTATTCAAAAAAAATCAAATGCTTAAATAATTATTTTATAGGGATGCAATTCATCATAAAAAAAATATATATATTTTTCTTTGGTTACAAGGAATTTGTTAATTGATTAATGAGAAGACAATTAGACACTAAAAACAAAAACAAAAGCAAAAAAACAAAAAAAACAAAAAAAAAAAAGAAAGATAGATTTCATAAAAAGAACTCCCACCCAACCTTTTGGAGTTTGAAGGAATTTCCTGTTGACATGTTGGCTCATAATTTTTACTATTCTATTTTGCTCAAGGGGTGGGCACCGATCAGGTTGTTTAGTGGAATTCAAGCAGATTTGCACTGTATATTAACAAACTTTGTGTCTACCAAGCTCAACACAACTTTACATTGTACCTAAGCTTGTTATGCCAAAGACAATCCTAAAAATTTTGAATTCTAGAGCCAGCCACTTAACCCATGAGAACAAATAGACCAAATATGAAGCCCACACAGGTAGATCCTGTCTAACCGGTAGACGACCACCCGGTGTACCTTGTTACATTCTATTCGTACAAAGGAACATAATTCAACTTAAACAGTATTCTAATCTTGATCCAAAATCCACAGTACTAAGGAGCATAGCCATTTTAATTAAAAGGATTGAGAAATCATAATAAGTTATATTTTGTTTGTACTAAGCAAACATCTCACCATTATAATCCTGCTATAAGCCAACACCACCACCATTCAATAATATCCAAGGTGCATGAAATGGCCTTTCTAAACCATGGAAAAGGAAAAAGATTAGCACAAGCGGAGAAGAGTACAAAACTTTGATAGCTACTTTTGAGTTGATCTCATGAAGAAAATGCAGTTGCAACCTTTACAACATAACACCCATGTTGGTCAAACTATCATCCATGTCAAGTGTCGGTACCCAGCCCACTTAGCAGCAACACGAACACCAATGGCCACGGCTGCACAGAGCAACGGAACTGGAACTTTCCTACCCGTTGCAACGGCTTCTCCTTCATCTTCATCTTCCAATGGCTTTTTTGAGTGGTGGTGAGTAATAGCCAACGCCAGATAAGAGGTCATCACCACAAACCGAACCCAAGGCTCTCCAACAGCAGCCAGCACAGCCGCAACAGGTAACACAGAAGAAACATAATCCCCCTTCTTAACAAACCGAGCAAAACCAAACAATCCCAATAGGAGAGTCCAGAAGGACAGCTCGGAGATGAAGTCTCTCACAGCTGCAAAACCGATTAAGCCAGCTACTGTAAGAACGTATGGTTGGCTGTCTACAGAGTCTGGAACAGAAGCTTCAGCAATGGCAATTACGGAAGACACCAGCACGATGATCAGAGTCAGCTCTGGAATAGGAGTATATGCTATCACTGCTGAGTAGAAAGCTCGAATGGTGTAAAGTGTAGTTTCTATTCCTCTGATCAGAGAAGTTACTGGATCACCAATGAAATGGAAAATAAGGGCCAGTGCAAGCTTTAAGAGGTATCCCACGAACTGGGTAATACTTGATAAAACCTTTTTCCAGTTGGACAACTCCCACAAGACTGTTCTCCAGGCATACAAAAGGAAAGCAAGAGCTGCAAATTATCAAGAATTGAACGTATAATGTCAGTTGCATGGCTTAGTTCTCATTACACCCTGGTCACAGGCCCCTTTTGAAAAAATGGAGAACAACTCAAGTAAGTGCAGTGAGGTTAGTGGAATTGCTAATATAAATCAAGAAAATGAGCAGGAACATAATTTATTTACTCTTCATTAGTGTTCTTCTGTGTGTTTTTGGTTGGCATAGGAAAAATGCCATACATGATGAATTTGTACAAGCTCGATTTGAGACGGGAAAAAGCTCAATCAACTATGAGTGAAGAGTTAATAACAGACAAGAAAACAAATTTTAAGGCCATAAAAATTATAAGTATGAACCTAAACTATATATTCATATGACCTCCTAAACACAGAATAAATAAAGATCTCATTGAACAGTGAAGATGGAAACTTCCATTTTTGGTATTTCTGCCCCAACTTTATCAGAGTTTGTTCAAATATAAGATTTAAGTCCCTTTGAAGTCTACTTTGCCACATGTAGTCCTCTCTCTCATACACACACACATTTACACACACAAAGTTGTGAGTGTGCACACACACATGCATGCATGTCCACACACATCATTGCCTTTCCCTGAGACATACAGCTTCAACACTGTTACTACCATATTGTTTGGGCGGAAACAATATTGAAGCATGGCAATACAAAATGTAAAAAAAAAATGACAAGTGAAACAGTGTAATATCTCAACCAGACATCTAGAAATTCAAATAGCCCTTAAAACATTATTCAGTCAACAACCTCCTCTCTGTTAAATCCATTGACGCACATGAAGAATCAGCCAAAACAAAGGACTGGCCACACCATTTGAAATGGAACAGATAAGAAATCATATATGCACGGTAAACTGGAAGTAGAGATGATTTTGGACTTCCTCAATGAAGTGGTTTATTAGTGATTGTGCACATAAACAGGGATTAGTTACGATTTTTGACTTCGAATGTGTAAAAACTGTTAGTGGTATGCCTAAAGCTAATCTGGGAGACGTGGTTTGAAATACTTAAAACAAGTCCTTTATTCTTAAAGGTTCCTAACCATAGGATAAGTGGATTACTAACTGGGCATTAGTAATCTAAATACACTAGTACGTGTTATGGTTGACTCAATTGGGATTGGTGGCTAGTCTCAAGTCACTTGTGTGAGAAAACTAAATTAAACATGTGGGCACTTGTTAGAGAACAAGTTCATTGTACGTGACTGCTCATGAATGCCTTGTAGAATTGTACTTACTTGCCAAATAGGTTTCCATTAGTTATAGTTGTAAATATAATCCTTAGACTTGAGAACAACACGATTGTCTGTGTTTGGATTGCTACGCTTTGTCAATAAAATGTGCTTATGTTCTTCTAACTATGAAACATAAACACATTGATTGGGCTTAGTGACATAAACATGAAGACAAGTGAATGTTCAACAAGGGATCACTAACTATCAGAGTCCCAAGTAAAGCAGGAGAATGTTGTATGTCGCCATATAGGATATAAGTCCAGAAAGACCTTGGCTAGGATAGAGTGATAATTAGGAAGAAGTCCTTAATTTCACCAATGTGAGCTCATATCAATTAGAGTGGACACATAATTGGGTTTCAGCTGTTTGATGGACTTTCAAGCCCTATTGACTATTGTAGGATATTATATATGTAGAAGGATTGAACCAGACAGTAACTGTTAACTGAATAGATCACCTAGTATATTCATATTATTTGGGTGGTCATGATATGTTGTTATATGTCACTCATGATTTGTAAAACCTAAAGGAAAAGTTTTTTGGGAGAATTAGAAAGAATACTAATAAAATATCAAGGGTTGATATTATTTCTACTATCTCGTAAAAGGTAAATCTAAAAGCCCACACACATAAGAAGCAATACCTAATACAAAGGAATAAAAAGTTCATCCAATTAAAAGTTATTTAGGGACTTATCTTAATCAAGAGTTAATTGCGATAAAATCTATTCCTTCTTAGACAATACTGTTGAGATCCATAGCTAGGAGAGCAAAAAGCGCTCATAAGAACTAACACTCTAGTGATTTTCTCTTTCTTTGTCTTGCTACATATTAGTGAGTGTTTGAGAGTGCCTTTGTGTTCAAGAATTACTCTATGTGGATACTTTTAAAGGTTGGACACTTAAATGGCTTGTTTGCTTGGAGTGAATTCAAAAGATCAAGCATTTGAATTGAATTTTTGTGCTTAAAGTAATCATCTAACATAGATTGTTGTACTTATGTTTTGTATACATCACAAATAACATGAACGTGGAAATTCGTAATCACAATAAAATTTCAATATTCCGTTGCGTCTTGGTATACAATTCCCAACACCATCTACTCAATGAATTATATCTGATTGATCAATTAAGGGTCTAATCTATTGATAGTTTCTAGGTAGGCTCAACTTGACAAAATCTAAGAGGGCCAAGACCAGCCTAAAAGTTTTTTTGATTTGGCCAAAGTTCTCAATCGAACCAGGCTTGGACCGAAAAGACTAAACCCTAATTAAAATCAAGCTACACTTGGACAAACATCTCAACTATCCCAATCAACCCAAGCCCTTGGGGACAAAAATTAATCATTCATTTCATAGCCACATTTTTTGTGTAGTAACCAAACCAAACTAAGCCTTGTGTTCCCAATCAAGTGAGGACAGCTACATTAATTATTTTTCTCTATCCAACTCTACCAAGGGCTATATACTCAGTTAAATTAACTAAATTCATATATTTTCCACCACATCATCCCATGTCAACTTAGGTCTTTCCCTTCACCTAGCATCTCCACTTACAGTGATTTTATCAATCTTTCTTACCATTGTATCTACAGCTCCTTTGTACATAACCAAACCATTTTAACCTTTTCACTCTTAATTTATCTTCAATAGGTGCTACTCTTATCATTTCATAAATATATACATTTCCAACTCTATCTTTTCTTGTCTTATCACACATCCATCTAAGCATTCTCATCTCAACTTCATTTTTTGTGGGGGTAACAACAAACAAGGATAAAAAGCAAAAAAATAAACAAAACAAAAGAAACCTTCTATCTCATTGGGATACTGCTGGTGCTGGGCTCTCATTTTCTATTAGCATTCATTTTCTAAAGAATCTAAAATGCTCTATAAGTTTTAAACCCATGTCTAGTACAACTTTCATTCATATCTCAAATTCTTCATTCAGGTGCATTTGTATTCAAGGGACACTTGTAGTTGTACACAGAATCTCTAATTCAAATTGAAATGTACAATGATCTGGTAGATAGGATTTTCTCTTGCTTAAAAAAAATGTCCCTTCCTTCCCAAACATTCCCAAAAAATATTCATTTATTTTTCACTCATGGTAGGTTCTGTATTTCATAAGTATATAAGGCTTTTACTATTATTATATATTATATGAAACCAAGAAGAAGAAATGACAAGATAAATTGTGTATATCAATGGAGAAAATACGGATATAGAAAACAAGACAAGAATTCAAACAAGACAGGAATTCTCTACAATGACACTATAGACCAATTAAAACTTAAAAGGATGTAGCGCAGCTTGGTGGCGCGTTTGTTTTGGGTACAAAATGTCACGGGTTCAAATCATGTCATCCCTACCTATTACTTCTCTGAAGGGATCAATTGACAACGATTAATTTCAGACTTCCAAATTGCTTTTGATACACATATACAATCCAAACCATATAGACATTACACACAAACCATACTTTTAAAAGACATTTGCTCCAAATTTAGTTACTCTATTGAGTCAATTTCATTCTTTGCATGCTAATATAAGCCAAGCTAAGTAAATACACATAAAATACATACTAAAAAATTACTCACTCATTATACAAACACATAAACATAAACATATATCAAATTATTCATATATAAATATAAATATATATATATATATATATGGGTCAATTACACTTTTCCCCCATCCCTATAATTTCTATTTGAATAATTTGGTCTTTCCATCTAAATTTTTGTCAATTTTGTCTACTTATACACCTTAAAAAATTGCCGAAATTGTTAATTTTAACCTCCAATTCAGACGGAAAAATCAAATTGAAACCTTAAAATTTTGACAAATGTCCTAAAATTATTAATTTTAATCTTCAATTTGGACGGAACTAGACTTAAAACGTAGTATCAAATTGTTCAAATTCAAACCATAGGGAATAAAGTGAAATTTAAGTCAAACTAAAGTGTAAATAACCCTATATATACACACACACATTGTATCATACAAATCAGCATAATAAGCAATAATTGAAGTACCTATGAACCAAGGCCACCTAACAGGTGGGCTTGGGGCTTCCTTGGTCAAGGGCCTGAACCGGTCAGGCATGGTACTGTGCCCTCGGGCTTCTTCTTCAGCCTTATCAAAGAAGCTCTTACTTTCACCTTCTTCCCCATTCTCTGCACTCGCACGAAACCCTCGCTTCGAAAATCCTATGCTTCTACTCGTAGAAAAACGTAGCAAATTGAACGATGATTGTGTTGAGATTGAAGAGGAGCGAAATGGAAGGGCATGGTTAGGAGGAGTTGGAGAGCAGAGACGAGTCTGAGAGGAGAGATTGAAGGCGAAGAAGCGAGGAGGTTTGAGAAATGGGTTTGGAGAGCTGAGAGTGGAAATTGCCAACGACATGGCTAGTTTTGAAAGGGTTATAGAGGAGGTTTAGCCATTACCAGTGGAGCTATCAAGGGGTAGTGGGGTTTTGCTTTTGCACTGTTCGGACCCGAAAGATAGTTTTATAGGATGGCACTAAACCCGAGTCCGACCCATGTTTATCTTAATTGTTTGGGATGTACTAAATAAGTGTTCTTTTGTCTTTTTAAATTAAAAAGTTGAGAAAAAAATATGGATGTTTGAATTAATTTTTTGACTTTTTATAAAAAAAATGTGTATTAAAAAATTATATAAATTAATATATAGGAGAAGATTGGAATGAAATAGATAGTACGGTGGGATAATTCAGGACAGCGTAGGTAGAGTGTAAGCTGGGATATGATTCCCTGCTTTTTGGGCATTGAATTGGAGGTGTTGTTCGTATGACGTCTCAAAAATCGAGAACATCAGATAATATATTAACCATTAAAAACAGGGTTTATCTAAGGTTACAAGAGTAAGAAATGTGATAGCTTTTTTAGTTTTTTAGTTATTTAAGAAATGTTCCAATGCTGTCCAAATTCGTCGACCGTTACGAAAATTAGAGTTTCTCACAAATCGCTCACTTGTTTTCAATAAAACCAATTTTAGTTGAAAGATAACTCCTTAAGGAAGATTTTGACATAAAATGGAAGTCCATAATAATTTTCTACATTTTTCTATAAATTTTGAAAGTTGGCTGTGAAAATAGATTCTTAAGGCACAATACCCAAAACAAAAAGATTTGTGAGAAAGGGATCCACTATGGGAAATTTTTCATTTCTTTTGTGATGAAAACATGCTAAATAATATATATTAAACTCGGAAAATTAGCTTGAAGGTGTGCCTTTGGAAAGTTTGAGAGATGGGTATAAAAAAGATAGTTTTGTACCAAATAAGGGGAACTACAAGAAGAGTAGAATCATGGCTCAACTCCTTTTATTTTTAACACAAGGAAATCATTAAAACACATTTGAAAACAATGTTTAAAACCCTTAAGAGCATGTATTTGAAAAAGGAAAATGAAAGAGAGAGTTGTGTTGTGGCTTACTTGCTAAGTTTGAACAAGATTGCTCTCCTCTTCCTTCCTCTCCTTCTCAAGACTTCTCTCTTGCTCTCCTTTCTCTCCTCTAAGCTGAATGTATGTGAGTATGTGTTTGTGTATGCCATGCTAGGGGGTGGTTGTATTTAAAAGCAATTTTGGTGTAAAAAGACATAAAGGTCCACTAGTTGGAATTGGATCGAAAAACTTGGATTTACTTAGAGTCTAATGGAATAGGGAGTGATTAGGGAATTTAATCATGTGATTAGACAATATTTAGTTGGCCTCTAGTTGGAATGGAACTAGTGTTGGAAACACAACCCTAGATTTAAGGGTACTGGGTACTAGAGCTTCTAGAATGTCATAATTACAAGTCTTGAAAATAGGTCCCTCACATTCTTCTAAGTTGGCCAGCCATGGAGAAGGGAAATGAGAAATTTTTTTATTCAATATATAGGTGCTATGGACACATTTCCCAATGTATATATATATAGATCTCAAATTGATTTGATGGTGCCTATAGTATAAAAAGTACATGTACTATTTTTGGGGTAATTCTTGAAATTAATAAAAGAAGTGAGGCTTAGAATTTAAACTCATGTATTGGAACCTTATTTATGTAGAATTAAATTAAATTAGACTAAGGAACCTAATTCGGCTAGGATATTCCTGTTTCGATAAAAATTAAAAAAAAAGTTAACTGACAAGATTCGAAATAATTTAAGAAACTGAGGGGCTTTCAAGAAAATAATTCAAACATAAGGGTTTTTAAAGAGAATATATTTTTTTGAGTGGCTTCACAGTTCGGTCTATGGGGGCCCACCACGGGTCTCTTTTGCTAATCAAATCGTTCAATGTGTAGAACTCGTCGAGTACTATATGCTTGTAAAAAATCACGTTGATCGGATATTGATAGCTATTTGATCGAATTAGTTTTTTTTAACCGTTAAATATAACACCATCCATTTTATAAATTTTAACTGATTTGACCCTATAGTTATCAATATCCGATCAATGTGATTTTTTATAAACATATAGTACTCGACGAGTTCTACACATTGCACGGTTCAGATTATTAAAACGGGACCCGTGATAGGCCCCTACAGGCCGAACATCACCATGTTATTTGTGCACCTAAATAAGTGCAATTTTTCCAAAAATAAGCTCCGCTTGTGGGATGACAGAGTTGTCTAAAATGTAATTATGTGTAAAATTATTTTTTTTGATAAATAGTGATAACTTTTTAAATAATTTATTAATTTTTTATCTTTTTTAAGACATGTCAAACCAGATCCACTTGGGTTTGGTCAACGGAAAACACCAATCAGCTTGGTTTCATAACTTATGTTTTACTTTTTAATTTTTTTTTTAATTTTTTCGTATTTTCTATTTATACTATTTTTTTTTAATATTTTAAGTAATATATATATATATATATATTTTTAATTTTTAGATATACCTAACATAAATATACTTAAAAAATATAATATTTGTGAATTTTTTTTAAAAAAATTATTAAATACAAAAAATACAAAAATTTAGTATATTTTTCGTATTCTTGTGTATTTATTGATTTTTAATTTTTTTTATAAATAGTTTACTTTTTAAATATATCTAAATAAGTTGCATCTAAAAAAATAGAATTGCTTAAAATTTTAAAAATATTCACTAAAAATTAAAAAAAATACAAAAAACAAAAAGTTCAATTTTCAAAAAATTAAATTCAAAAAATTGAAACCAAACACAGTGAATAAATTCCATATCCATAACCAAACCAAACCAAATCAAATCAAGTCTTAAATCCCATCAAATGAGATTGGCTACATGAATGCTTATTTTTCATTCGATTCTGTCAACGGCTATTCGGTTAGTTAAACTAAGAAGATTCATATATCTACCGTCATTTTATCACATCTCTTCACTATTACCTTTGTGGTCTCCATTGTATATAATCAAATCATCTTAACCTATTCTCTCTAAACTTATCTTCTATCGATGTTACTCTTACCCATTCACGAATATACTCATTCATAATTCTGTCTTTTTTAGTTTTGTCGCACATCTACTTTAACATCTTTATCTCAGCAATACTCATCTTATCTTCATGTTGTTTCTTAGTTGCCTAACATTTCGTCGCATACAACATTGCTAGTCTAATAGCCGTTCTATAGAATTTTCTTTTTAGTCTAGTGGGTACTCATTTATCACACAGTACTCCAGATGCACTCCTCCACTTAAGTCACCTTATATACTTTAATTCTATGGATCACATTTGCTCCAATCTCCCAAACTGTTGTGATAATCGATCCTAAATAACAAAAATGTTCACTCTTAGGTGTTCTTGGTTCTTAATTTTTACTTCTGCTCTGCTTTCATTGTTAATATTACTAAAATTATACTCCATGTATTTTATCTTAGTTCTACTTATCCTAAATCCTTTACATCTCATATCCATGTTTTAATAATTAATAATAAATGGGTAAATGACTAATATGTCATAACAATTGGACTTAATTCCTATCAAATCCTATTGAAAATAAGGTCTAATAAAATCATTTGTAAAATTAATTTTTTATGACTATTTTTTTACATGTGTTGTTAAAAATTGACAAGTAATGACTTTTTTTGTCACAGTTTTTATAAATTGTTGTTGAAACTTACAATTAGTGACATTTTTCTGTGATGAAATTTTCAAACTATCGCTGAAAGTTTAAAATTAATATCATTTTTTTTGTGATGATTTTTTTAAACTGTCACTAAAACTTATAATTAATGGCATTTTTTGTCACAAAATTTTCAAATTGTCTCGGAAAATTAACAATTAGTAATGTTTTTTAATAGTGTTTGATGAAAAATACTATTAATTATTACAGAACTTATTAAACAATAAGTGCACCTATTAAGACCTACACATAAGCCTCCCTTAGTAAGTTCTCTAAATAATTTAATGAACCAAATAGTGCCATCTTTGTGGAAACGACACTATCACCATTCACTTTGTAGGCGTGAATGGGGAGCTTCTATTTACACACACTAAACCCTCTTTATACACACATTTAATGAAGGGATTGTGTAAAAAGTGTAGTGAGAGAGATGTGAAGAAAGTGTACGTTGTGTGTGTATATAGAAGCTCCCGCGTGAATGTTGACTCATACTAATAAATGACTAAAATGTCCATGGATTGAAATTACATATTTGCTCAACGTAAGGGTGCTCATGATTCAGTTTCGACCTAGAAACCTTTAATTCGTCTCTAATCCACCATTCATCCAAAATTAGATGAATTGGAAAAAATTAATTTGCAACCGTCTGCTAGATTGGCTTTTGCAAATTGAGCGGATTGATGCATTGGTGGATGGTTTGGTAATTTACATTATACAGATTTTCAAAATAATAAAACTTGTCAACATAAATTTTTGTTTTAAAAAAAAAAAAAAAAATCAAAACTGTTTTCTTAATAATGACTGCAAACATGGATAATAATCAACAAAACAATGATAATAATCCAATCTGTCTTCTCCTTGTGCATCATCAAATGCACATGGTAACAATAATTAAACAAATGTAATAATAATATTTGAATTTATCGCTCATCATTCATCACACTCATCAGCACTCTCATCACTCAATTGACAAATCTATTAAGAGAATTTGAGGCTCTGCGAATCTGCAACATTCATCCTAATGTCGTACAGTCATTCGAAACGGTCAATATTTAAAATGTTTTCATACAGTCATCTAAAATAATATATTACACTCATTCAAAAACAGTTTACACTAACAGTCACATTTAAAAAATAACTTAAAAAGACGCAATATAACTATTCATTTCCTTCAACCAAACCATGAGTCATGCAAACTTGCATAATAAAAAAAATAAAAAAAACCAAAATTATTTAATAAGAAAAATGTTAAAAAGTCTTAAATGTAAAACAAAGTAAACATATATTAACAACATTTAACAAAGTGTAAATATTTTATCAATGATATTAAACTTCAATAAAACTAAACTCTGGACTTGGGCTTGGGCATAAATTTGATTCCGAAAT